ACTTGTTTCACGGCCACAATTCACCTGGTCTCTTGAGGAAACCCTCTGGGCGACCAATGAACTCCATCCTCCTCCAGCCAGATGCCCCCCTGGAAGGTTGTATGTACCCAACCCGCACCGCCCTGCTGTAATGCATAGGGTCCACACCTCCCGGAGTTTAGGACACCCGGGGGTCTCAGCAATGTTACAATTCATAGCTCAACGCTACTGGTGGCCCGGATGGAGGAAGAAGGTGGAACAGAATGTGGCTTCTTGTCCTGAATGCGCCCAGCTTAAATGTCATGAAGTGACATGTCATCAACCGCCCGCTGGGTTGCTTCAACCCTTACCTGTCCTATCTCGTCCCCGGTCCCATCTAGCACTGGACTTCATCACGGACCTCCCCATGTCCCAAGGTAACACCGTCGTCGTCACCATGGTGGACAGATTTTACAAGATGTGCAGTCTTCTTGCTCTACCCAAGCTCCCCACTGCCTCAGATCGATACTATGGAATTCCCGAAGATGTGATTTCAGATCGTGGTCCTCAGTTCACCTCCCAAGTTTTTCGTGCCTTTTGTCGGAAGCTCAATATCTCACTCAATCTAATGTCTGCATATCAAACCCCAGGTCAATGGGATGGCAGAGCGAACCAATCAAGAGGTGTCTTAGGCATTATGACTACTGTGTCGGGATAAGCCATCCGACTGGTCCACTCACCTCGTCTGGGCCGAGTACTCCCTTAATACCCATCTTAACCCCGTCACAAACCTCTCTCCCCCTACCAGTGTGTCCTAGGTTATAAGCCCCCTCTCTTCCTGTGGGATGCGCCCACCAGTGATGTGCCACAAGTGGACAACTGGTACAACGCTTGTAAGGAGGTCTGGTGCCAGGCCCAGCTCACCCTCACTCACCAGGGTCAACGACAGAAAAACCATGCAGACTGCCACCGACGTTCGGCTCCTCCTTTCCGAGTGGGCCAGCGAGTATGGCTGTCTACCCGCAACCCCAAGGTCCTATCCTGTCAGAAGCTGTCCGCCCACTTCATCCGACCCTTTAAAAATCTTACAGCAGGTGGGACCTACCTCTTTCCGCCTACAGCTCTCTGCGATCTACCGTATCTGTCCTACGTTTCATGTGTCCCTGTTAAAACCAGTATGGTACAGCCCAGTTCACCCGTCGACTGACGGCGCCGTTCCGTAGCCTTGGACCCTGCTGGATCTCTCAGAGGTTTTCCAAATCCATGCCATCCTGGACTCCTGCTGCCTAGCGGGGTCACTGCAATACCTGGTAGACTGGGAGGGGTTCGTTCCAGAAGAGCCCTCCTGGGTCCCGGCGAAGGACGTCCTGGACCCAGCCATGATCGATGAGTTCCACTCCAATGCGCTCACCCTTCCAAACCCACTCCCTGGCCTCGAGGTCATCCGCGGCATCGTATTCGGCCCCTAGTAGGTGGCCATCGGGGGGGGGGGGGGTATTGAAACAATAACATGATGCTATCTGGGAAACCATACTCCCATTTCCACAGCTCAGCAGCCACAACATCTTTTAAGAGGAAATATTGTGGTAAGAAGATAAAAAGACGTCATGGGCATGGCAGTACTTTTTGCAGATTCAAATTTTATAAATGCCCCCATTTTTTGACAGTTCTCCTCAAATATTTTTGAAAATTTCCTATGTTGTGTCCACAATACTTCCTCAATTACTGCAGTCATAGATTATACTGAAAACTAAAAACTTTATATGACAGAATTCTACAGAAAGCCTGTCATATGGCTCTACCGTGTCCTTCCTCACATATATATGCTGTTACCACAGACGTCAGATCATTCCATCTCCAAAAAGACTCCGGGGACTGTCTGACCCCGCTTTTTCAAAAAACGTATGTCACTTTGGATAAAAGCACCTGCTAGCTAAATAGGATGTAAGATAACCGTTGGGCAAATTGCAACCAAACTACAAAAAAGACAAGATTTCAAAACTATGGACTCAGCAGTCTGATTTTGGTGATCACATAGCATTCAGCAAGAATGAATTAAATCACGATTCCATTTAGCTAGTAGAGAAATCCAATGATGCATTTGCTTACCGATGTTGTGCTGTCTTCATTACTAATTCTTGGGATTGGCCTTAATTTTCTCTGGTCATCATCCCTTTGTTACCCCATTGCTAAATTTAACGCCCAGTTGTCATACCATTTGCTGTCATTTAATGGTCAAAGGGGGGACAGGGGAGCTGAAGAGGAGAGAATGTCTGCAATTCCATCGTCTACCAGTAGGGATGCACCAATTGCAATTTTCTTGGCTGATTCCAATTTTTTTGCAAGTTTCAGATTTTTTCCCAATTCCAATTTTCTTTTTAAGAACTTTAATTGACAATTTCCCCCAAACTGCACTAAGTCACAGGATCTTCTCTCACTTAAGTCTCAAAATAAAAGTTTTCTGTGACTGGAAAGAGATACAAATAACAATTAGGCCTTACTGAAAATGAGTTGCTGTACACCCAACTTCGATATAATAAATTTTACCAAACAAGAGCAGGTGCAACAAACTGAAATAACAAATGTCAGTGACATATTTTCCAACATGTTTAAATTCACGAGATACCAAAACATTAACCTTTTTTTTTTACTCCTCTTAAAGTCCATAGTTTACAAACCACCAGATACAACTGAAGTGTACTATACTCTTCCAAATAATAGGTACAGAGTAGGGCTGCAACTAACAACTATTTTGATAGTCGACTAGTCATCGACTATTAAAACGATTAGTCGACTAATCGGATTATAAATTGCATAATTATAAAATGGCTCCTATTTAGCTACCAGCTTTTACATTTAGCATGAGGTTATTGTACGACATCAATGCCGCAAAACAACACATGTAAAATGGGAAAGAGCTGTCGTGCGATTGATTATGCAAATAGATTTAACATGAAATGGGAGGTTTCTTTTTAGAGATTGCCAAAAACTAAATAAGTAAGTATAGGATGTGGATTGGTCACACATGGCTGATACCCGATCCGTCAAATAGGTCTGGATCGGCACCGATCCGAATTTCTGATACAATATTTGTTATAATCAGGGCTGCATATAACTGGTACGCAAGTACGCATTCACCTTTTATAAGTGATACGTGCGGCAATCTTTTGCTGTGACAGTGCAAATACGTATTTTATGTGCATTTGTGCAGATATGACAAGAAATTATCATGCATTTTAACCTGTATATGCTAATTCGTACTTCATTTGCGGTATAGGGGTTAAAATGCACGGCAATGTCTTGTCATATCAGCTATTTATATAGCCTATGTTTACAAATAAAAACTCATTTTAAAGCAGGCTGAAAAATCCCAAGATCCTGACCCAAAATACGGGAAATTTAGAGCAGCTTCCCATTGCCATTCCTCTGTTAACAGCAACAAAACGGACTTAAACTGCTGTTATTTATTTTTAATGGAGCATAAGCTCTCGCAGCACTTGCGACATCGGAGCCACTGTCCTGAATCTTGAGCTTCAGAGTTTTGGCTTCTTTATTTAAGCAATGAGTTTTCTACACTGTTTTCTGACCTTTATTAGCTAAATTTTTAGCGAATGAGACACTTCATGACACACCACCGACTTCCAAACAAAAATACGTTCTATTCTGATCTTTTTTGAAAATGTAAAATATACTACTACTAGCCTATTATTATGCCCTATTATTATTGTTGTTGTTGTTATAATTATTTATTATTATTATTATTATTATTATTATTATTTATTATTAGATACGCCAGACAACAAGAAGTCCGTGCTATTCACCCTTTTGTAGATCTCGTCTTTGTTTTCGGACATAAAAGCCTTTGAGACTTTAGAGCGGTTAATATGTGACGATGCCTGATTTGTGGCCACCATTCTTCTACCTGTTGCTGAATGCTATTGCTCAAGAGCGAATCTCACCTGTGTGGTGTATTGGTGCAGTCTATTGGAAAGCGGTAGTATTGCACAAGTATAAAGGAAGGAAAACGTCTCATTCCGTTTAAAAATACGTCTGGCGACAATTATCGACAATCAAATTTGTCGGCGACTATTTTTATTGTCGATTTTTGTCGACAATGTCGAATAATCGTTGCACCCCTAGTACAGAGTAATATCATTAATACCAACATTGCATGTTATGCACATAATTCTTACATCGCTACTAAGCTAGATTAAGATCAGGCTTTTTCATACCTTCATTATAGCACAGGGGGTTAAGGTTTCTCTAAAACAACATTTTTACTGTCATAAGAAAAATAAACCTTAGCTAGATTTGCACGTTTAATGATTATTCCTTTTCAGAATTATCTAGGATATGTTTAGTAATCAGTTTAAAGTTTACCTCCAATGTTTCACCACGTTTTCATGGTGGTTCCGCCACGGTTTACTTTGGCTTTACATGCATTACAAATTGCAGTCTTTCTGTCGTCTTCACTCACAGTGGAGAACATCCCCACTAATGGCATGTTAGTATGTGGCTGTGAGTGTGCACACGGTTGTGACCCTATTGGCTGCACTGCTGAGTATATGACGTGTGGCACATGCATTAAATGGACTGGTTCAGTATTAATCCTGGATAAAACTTAGCCAAACACAGAAATCCCCCACCATACGCGACTTACTACCTATCCTCACTCTGGCCTACTTCTCTTGTTGTGTGGAACCAAATAAATACTTTGCAGCTACACCAAGCCTTTCAGAGTTACTGTCATCCCATCAGAGATGCAGTGCTTTACATGCACATGCAAAGACATCAGCATAAATAAACATATTAAAACCTAGATAGCCTTAATCCCTTCAAGGGCAGTACTTGTCAGATTCATTGAAGTGCTAAATGGGACCACTTTGCAAAATTGTAGTGATTGCATATCACCAGAGACACACACACACACACACACCTCATAAAATAAACAATGCAGGAAGACCAGAGGCCAGAAAACCCACAAACTACTGACATTTATAAGGAAAGGGTCTGAGAGTACAAACTTAACAGCCAGCTCCTAGTTTTCCTAAAGGTCAAGTGTATCTCCTGTTTATTTACCAGGTGTGAAGCATCGTTAAACAATCCATAAATCAAACAATGCAGAAAAGTATTTGCATTGGAAAATACCATAAAAAATTTCTAATTGGCTGCTTGTGTGTGGACAAGATGGTTCAAATCTCACAGTGGACAAAGGGATTACATTATTGGGCCCTTAGACAAAGCCTTTTATCCTAACTGTTCCAAACTGACTGACCATGCTTTGGAGAACATAAAGTAAATGTAAACAGATGACTACTGGCTGATAAGCCCTTGCTCAGAGGTTGCAGAATTCTCTGAGGTGAATTACCATTTCACTCAAAATGGAGCAGATAGTAAGTAAGGTAAAAATACAAACAGCTCCAAAAAAAAAAAAAAACAAACAGTGAAACTTTTCAGTAACAGTCAGGCAGAAATCCACAAACTCAAAGCTCAAATCCAGTTCCTAACACATTCTCTCACCCACACAGGGACATGCCATCTTTCTTTATGACACAGTTGCTGCTGTCGAATTATATAAAATTTGCCCGTGTGTCATCTTAACCATCCAGCTACAGACCGATTATGCTTACATCTTGTCACTTCAATCAGGAGCCCTTACACCAGCTGCTGAGCTCATGTTCTGTAAGTTACGGTCAGCCATCTCCTCCGTCAGGCACCCTTGTTACTCCTGCCCATCATCCACACCAAAGTCTCGTTGGTAGGGCAAGGTGGCGATGTCTGTCAGACTTGCTTTCACAAAAGGGCACATTAACCATCTGCTACCAAGCCCAAGGAGCACAGATCCATGCCATGAGACAGTCGATTTTTAGAAGCAAAAGATTCACATGGGAAAAGTATATTTTAACATTTTTACAACTCTGGGACTAGCCTGTGGAAAGAATCCCAGAAAATGAACTATTGTTGTATGACTGAATTATTGTTTTTCAATTAATACATATTTATTAAATTTGGCGCTATACATGTCACTGCATAAAGCATGCCTTCAGCAGTTCCTTTGCCTGCTCTCTCCGCACCTTCATGAGTCAGACTGCTTTGGCCCCTGAGGGGATTCCTCACACCACACCCTGGAGGCCAGGAAAGCTGTAAAAGCAAAACCATGCACTCACTGCTCCTGAGAACAGAGAACACAAGAAAGCCCTGAAGAATGTCAACAGGACAGCTTGCTTTGATTCTGCTCTATAGAAGCAGCAGCTACATCAACCACAAAGACGTAATACATAGCCGGCCTATTTCTGCACAGGGGGGTCTTCAGAATATCGATTTGGCTGCATAATGACAGTCAACTAACGACCGGTAGTAGGACAAGTAGGTTGCCGTGCATGCTGATCTGTGGCCGCTACACAAGGTGGGATCATCCCTGTGTTGATTTCAGGAGCTGTGTGGCTTTCAAGGACTTGATACTGCGCACAGAAATGTTTGTTTTCCTTCCAAGCTTTTGGCCATAATATAAAACATCCCCTCATAAACCGTTCAGGAATGCCAAATAAAACCAAGTGCTGGTAGCACAGCCTCTTTTTAAAGACTACAGTGTGACTGGCATGTGCAGACAGTGGGTTCTGGAGCTGTTGTAATGAAGATTAGCTACTGAAGCATTAAAGACCACCGGCTCAGGTTGTGACCCACAATGCCCCACTTAGCATATTGAATATTCTTATTATTACTAATAAGACACAATCAACTCAATGTGTTTCACTACAGTATTTCGTATGCTTAAGCCCTTCAAAATAAAAATAAATAAATAAAACTTAATATTGCACAAGCATTAACAGTACTGGCCAGGGGGATATGCTGTATTACAGTACATGAAAATGTTTAATTTCTAAGTACATAGCAAATAAATGTCCATCGATATGTAAAAAATGCTATATTCTCACATTTAAACTAATGCAGACCTTCAATTTAACTGCATGGACCAAAAACATAAAGCCTAAATTTTAATATGCAATTATTTTACTTGTTGCGACTAATAAATACATGTTACATGTTTCTATGCAATTTGTATTTTAACGCAAACCCAAACAAGCACCGAACATACGAATCTATTCAAAATGTGTTCTCCCGCAGGCTGATAAGTATTAAAGCAAGCTAAAACTAATGCTACACTGCTGAGGCATAAGTTAATTAAAATAGCTGGTTTTTAACACACAGTAGGACCGTTACAGTAGCCTTGCAATAGCAGACACAAATAAGAATAAATAGCCTAGATAGCTAGACAAACTAGCTAAAATCAAACTGCAAATAAAACAAATAGTTTAACCTAAATGAGTGTTGGCAACTACAAATTATAACGTTAAACGTCATTACAGACGGAGCTTTTCTTGGTGTACAGCGTTCCAAGATGCCTTAGCTAACCAGGTTGAAATAACGTGATAAAGCCATAAGACTAAAGCAAAATAACTTACCATTATAAGTTTATTGAAATTAGAGTCAGACTTCTTTGAATGTAGGTATCTCAGCAGTCTTAGGAAGGTAATCAGACACGAAACGATGACGGTCGTCGACTTCGAAAAGCTCTCGCGCGTGCGGCCATGGGTGCGTTAATTCCGTAGTCTTGGTAACTCCCGCCACGAATCACTTGATTATTACATGACCGTTAACTTCTTAGTTAAGTAACAAGTTTACCTGATTTTTTTAGCGTACTTCCATATCATTGGCCAATCGCTTTAGTCAAAAGCAGGGTGAAACATGAATTGATAAAATCAGTATTAGGAATTAGGAAAATTGTGAACGCAATTTGTGGGCATAAAACGAAGTAAAAGAGCAGTGACAGCACTTCATACGTACTCAAGAAAAGCTGAAATTACACCAATTTAAAACTACTTACTAAAGTACAAATTCTAAACAATAAATTACTCAATTACAATAATGACAGTTACTTTACACCCCTAATCAAGACCCCTGTATTCTGTATATGTGCCCTCTCATGGAAAATACTGTTTATGGTAAGTGTAATCATTTTGGAGGGTTATCCAGGCAACCTCTTTATGAGGTTTTACTCAGTGGGGGGGAGGCTAAAAGATATGAACATGATATGAATGTATCGCAGTGGGGGACAGGGGATCAGAAGGAACAGAGGATGAAGGAGGTGGGAGGTCTGGCTGCCCTGCTGAAATCCCTGCTGGATTGATTGAACCTAAAATATGTAAACAATAACACTGTGGGTTCTGCTCCACTTTCTATAAAGAGGTGAAGGTTCCTACTCCTCTCAGTTCTACCACATCTGTCTTCACAAGTTCCAGCTGTAAATAAGGTAACTGCAATGGAGAGGATGAGAGAGATGAAGGTGGGGGGAGCAGACATGGGGTCAGTCTGCTCTTTTTGCAGGATGGTGGTGTGGCTCAGTAGGCTAAAACTCTGGGGCTATGATCAGGAGGTTGTTGGTTCAAATCCCACAGTTTGCAATGTGATTTTCCCACTGGGCCCCTGAGTAAGGCCTTTAACCTTAGCTGCTCCAGGGACTGACTGACCCTGTTTTCTCAATTGTACATTACTTTGGATGAAGGCATCTGCTAAATATATAAATAAATTGCACCACTGTGGTCAGAATGAAATCAAATATAAGATAAAGCAAGTGTTAGGTCAAGAGGGTCGTCCTCCATCTCTCTGATCTCACAACAAGGCAGCTGGTGCTGACATAGATACTTTACTAGTGCTGGTTGTTTTTACTTTGTAGGTGCTTGTATTAAATGGAACTTACAATATTTAGGTGTATTTTCGTCAAAAGCCATTATGGACACGGTGACAGCAAGTGTGCAGGGAGGAGAAAGCCACAATCTCTGCTTCAGGTGTGGCTTCCTAGGTGTTCAGCAGTCTACTGCTCCTCCATACCACATACAGGAAAACCCATAAACCTGACAGACCAAGTCAAAACAAGGCCGGGAAATTTGGACTGATTAAAATTTCCATCGTTCAAAGGGAACCCAGCTCTGTTAACATTTCCTCTGTTTTTTATGATGAAATTACATTGTCTTAATTACATTCACAGCGCATACTGTTTGCATTGAATGGTCTCACATAAAATTGCCACAATGTTTAGAGCAGCAGGGGGTGCTGAGGTTATGGAGCCAGACTGGGGTGGCTGGGGGTTACGACCCTGAGAGGCCCCACGCTTGCATTCTTCAGTCAAGGTACATACCCATTCTTTCTATTAAGATGTCTGGCTGTATATATATATATATATACAGATAAAGGTATGAAACATACACTCTTTGCTATTTAACATGATCTGAATAAAAGCATCTGTTTCACAGATTAAATACCGTAAAATGATACATTAACGTTGTGAATGTGCTGAAAAGTGTAGCATCTGATTCCCGTTTTCCCTTTTCCCCCTTATCCTGCCGAACCCTGTTTGCAGACACAGCCCTGACAAGTGACTGTTCTCTTTTGTTCTATTGCCGACCCTTCTGTCAAATTGTGCTCGTTGTCTGAATTTAGTGGTAATAGAGCGGTTCTCGTACATCAGTGCGCTGATGCACTATAACTACAACTGAAAGCCTTCTTAAAACGGCCTTCTTTGCTGTACTTCGTCATATATGAGAAGGTCTCGACTGACGTAAGTAATCCCTTCCACAGACCCTTACATAAGTTGTTTACCTTCCGATACCATATATATCTATAGCGAAAGACACACAAGCTGAAAATATACTAATAATATGTACTATGTATATCACATATTAAAATGAATAAAAAGATAAAGTGTGAATATATTTACAGGTATATGCAGCCTTTTGGCATTAGTGCTCCGGTATATTCCATGTCTGGGATATTTTTTACATAAATCCAGATTTACTTAAGCCAGTTTTACTTGAGTCGAGAGTTGCCAATATACAGTATACATTAAGTTAAGTTAATGTTAGGTTGTCCTTCCAATAATATGCCCAAAGTATGATGGCTTTAGCTCATCTGTGCTTATCTGTGAATCTTTACATTGGAAATAAAAACTTTGCATGTTTTATTTTCTTCTTGAATATCTTTGCAGATGCTGTTGTAATATTGGTCCTTGACTTTACGGGTAGCATTGTGGAATTCATGATTTAGCTTTAAAAGATCTTCATCTTTCCTGATTCAGATTCTCTTTTTGGCAATTTCCAATGTGCCTTTTGTAATACACCATGATTTCTTTGGCTGCTTCATTTTCCAGATTCTTACAGAATCTTCCTGGATGACTTATTTGTAACTTTGGTTCTCTATCAAATATATCCAGGTTTGTGATGTTTTCCTTGAAGGGAGTGGATATATTCTTCAACTCATTTCTTGGAAGTCAGATTCCTTTTCAGCTTTCAGCTTGTACATAAATAGTTCCTGATCTGATCCACAATCTGCTCCAGGCCATATCTTTCATATATGAAGTGATCTATTCCATTGTTTGGGACTAAGAATGTAGTCTATTTCCGTGAGCTCCATAGAGAGGTCTTTGGATTCGCAGTAGCTGATTAGTCACACTCCAGCTTAGCTTCTGTGTCCATGTCTATCTTGGCCAAGTGTCTGTCCCACCTTCTCATTTACTACTTTGGCATTTCAGTCTACAATCATTAGGCATATATCTTGCTTGCATACCTATTCACCAAGCCTCTCAGCTTCAGTTGTTGGCCCTCATGCCTGTACAACTGTCTGAAGATGTGTTCCTGAAATCCAACTGATATCCATCTGTCATTCACGTGATTTGTATTAATCTGCAGTCTTTCCAGGGTTTGCCCTGATGCTGAAACTCTTTGCACATCTTTGTTGTCCATTTTCCGTAGTATATGGTGGGTCCACCTGACTGAAAGTGCCCTGGCCAAATCAGTTTAAGTTAGAGAACTCCTCTATGCAAACTATTTCTTTCTTTACCAAATTTGTCTATTTTTGGTTCATGTTCCATGCATCCCATGTTGCAATATTGATTCTTCCTTTGCAACTTCAAATTTTATTTTCCAGCCTGGCAATATTGGCAGTTGGATGTACATAATGTTTTGACTAACAGTGTCATAATCACCAGCCATGCTCTAAATCAGGGGTGGGGAACCTGTTCCATGGAGGGCCAGTGTGGGTGCAGGTTTTTGGGATGGCCTCTCAAACAGCCAATAATAAAGCAGTGGTTCTCAACTCCAGTCCTGGGGACCCACTGTTATTGGCTGATTGAGAGGCCATCCCAAAAACCCACACCCACACTGGCCCTCCATGGATCAGGTTCCCCATCCCTGCTCTAAATGTTCCTTAGCTATTGACCACTGTGGCCATTTACCATTGATAGAGTCCTGTGTAACTGCTGTCCAGTGTAGGTGGTGGGTTTGTGTCTGACACCTCTGCTGAGATCTGTTTACCGTCAGTCACACTGATTCCAGTAACTTATTAAGTAACTTAATAATTACTACTCAAGTGCAAATTGTAAACCTCATTTCCGGTTAATTAAAACATTAAGTAACAGTGTACTGCTACATTATTTGTGCCCCCTCAAGTACATTGTTACGTTAGCTCCAGGCTACATAGCTTTTAGCTTTCCTGATGCATGCAGCTTCTTTTCCCTGATAAAGCACCATTCCTTGAGGAGGTACTACATTTTATACCATACAAATCCAGACCTGTTCATTTTACTTTATTTTACTTTATTGTGCTAGATATAACAGACCTTTTTTCTGTACTTTACTGTAATCCTGTAGCAGACTTTTTGCCACACTATACTCCTTAATGTAGGCATCATTATTGTCATGTATTATACTGGATACTACAGAATTTTTATTCAGTTATTTCACTGCACAATGTAATATTGTTGCTGCAAGCTTCTTAATTACATTTTAATATATGCTTCTGATCTTTAAGAACAATAAAGCGTAAAGCTGCCAACTGAGCTTTCCGATTTTGAAATGCTAAGCTTGTGGGTACTATTCTGAATATCGCCAATTTTACAAAGTACAGAGCACAATCTGGCTGGGACTGACCAGTTTTATGTGTACAGCAGGAGTAGGACTCACAACGACCAATGCAGAATGTGGACCCCTTCATTTGGAGCTTGTGGTAGTGCTAGTGTTTCCCAATCTGGTCCTTGGAGATCCACAGTCAGTCCATGTTTTTGGTCCCTCCTAGCTCCCTGTCAGACAGTCTACATTTTTGCTCCCTCCGAGCTCCCTGTCAGACAGTCCACATTCTTGCTCCCTTCGAGCTCCCTGCCAGACAATCCACATTTTTGCTCCTGGGAGGGAATAAAAACATGGACTGTCTGTAGGTCCCCAAGGACCAGATTGGGAAACACTGTCTTAGACCATTAAAGCCAGAATGCCTGATGCCTTTGCCCAGCTGTACATTTACAGGTACATTCATATTGTTTACCTTTGCTCAGAAATTCAGCCGTCCCCCGTGCGTTAAACAGTTCATTCTTTAATCAAATTATTCATGCAAACACACCAGTCTTTCTTCTTCCCGCTTTCAATACATTCTTTCACTTAGTCTCTTTATCCTAGGTTTTTCCAGGGTTTTGTCGGCCATGTTTTTGACATTTCTTTGCCTCACCTTATGGTGCCATCAAGCCCGCTGGGCCCCGCCTGGCCCTCTCCTCCTTTGTAAGGGTGAGGTGTATCCAATGCAGTAAGGACGGGGGGGGGGGGGGGGCGGCACGCAGGCCATCCCACACAGCTCCCCACTCCCTCTGGCTCCTTCAAAAGGGGCCCACAGGGTTGTATCTGATTGTCAGGCATAATTTCAGGGGGCTTCTGGGAGACAGAGACATTCTCATGCTGCCTCATTCCTCATGTCATGGTATAAACCCATAAGTCAATAAACTTCCCACTGAGTTCTGTTACAAATCCATACGAATTAGCATTTTCCCTTAAATGCATGATCAGAGATGGAGATTTCAGGTCCAGAGAGTACAAATCCAAACCAAGATTTTGTTTCAACCAACCAGTTGAGTACTCTGTGACGGTGACTCTTTTTGCTGAACTGGTTGGTTGAGACAAAGTCTTGGTCTGGATTTGTACTCTCTGGACCTGAACTCTCCACCTCTGTACATATTCTTAAAGCGCATGGTTTTCATCTATTTTTCCCATGGGGGGTGGCATCCACGTGCATCCCATTAAAACTGCAGCCCTGCCTATGGGAGAGCAGGGTGCCACAGTGAAGTGTAGGCAGGTCTCTCCATCCCCCCATCCTGTTCACAGTGTGGGTCCAGTAAAGACGCTGACTCCACACAGACCACAGGCAGGCAGTCTGCCTGACTCTCCTTAATCTTCAGTCACAAGCCATAATCACAACAATCGCAGCACCACGCCTCTCGACCTGCTAGAGATAATTAAGCACCTCCAAGGCTCCACAGTGTGAGGTTACCCAGTCTGTAGCCCAACCCTCAGTCCATCATAGCCTCTGGCAGAGACCTTTCGAAGGACCTAAATTCATGCAGGAACAGACATCTCTCCTTTCTGAGACAGTAGTACCTGGTTTGATGCTTAGAGAGTGAGCAAATCATTCATAAGATACGTGTTTTAAGTTCTTTGTGAAAATGATTCACTCATCCTGCATGCTACTGATCCACTAGAGGGTCACAGTGGGCCTAAGTCATGTGGATGTGGATGAACCTGTGGGCTGTGAGTGTAGGAACGCTGATGTGTGAATCTCACATGGGCAAGCAGGTCTTGTTGAATGTTTCACAAAATCTGCACAGGTCCTACTTCAAAATATTGCGTACACAATAGGATACAGCTGCTCATCAGCCCTACCTCTCATGCCCACTCTCTACTCTGCATTAATACAGCAATCATTACCCACAATGCACTTCATCTGTGGGCAGCCGCTGATGATGCTGCTGTGTTACCTTTGCCAGGGGAGGATGCAGCTGTACAGTGAGGCTTGTATTCAGTGCATTTCTATGGGACTACGTTGTTTTCTTTTTCAAGAACAAGGTTTTTAACAAAATTGACTTCAAAATGATTTTTTCCCAGTGTTTTATTATATGGGGGGGAAAAAAAATCTGCAGCCAATATCAATGCTCAAATTGGCAAGCGTTAATTGAGTTTTGCACAGAACAAGAGTTAACTATATGCATATATAATGAGCTGTAAAGTCCTGCTGCGAGAAGCCAGGACAAACTCCTTAACTGCTATATCCCTGGAATGGCTAATGATTAATTAGCTTCTGACATTAAATGGAGAAAAGGTCAGGCCAGCTTCCTGGGTACTCCCTTGGGTACTAACAAGGCTCACTGAGACGCTTGAAAATAAATCTAACTCTGACATCTGGTGACCAGAAACAAAACTGCAACTAACAGGCAAAGTGAACAGTTTGTAAATGGCTGGTTTTAGTTTTACTTTAATCTTATTTAACATAATGTGATAAGATGTGGGATTTCATCATCCTGCTAAATTAGATATTCGTTTAAAGTTTATCTAACTCAGCTGCTGCTCTTAAGTATGTAAAGTAAAAGACTTGGATGACGTGGGTACACGGCACAGCTTGTTAATTCAGTATAGCACAGACATTCATGATAGTGTTACAGGTGCTATATAGACGCATTCAAATCCAGCATATTCTATTTCCCATCCTGGAACATTAGACCTGAAACATTCTCCAGCACAGTCCATAATACCCCTGATACACACATTCATCGCACACCATCCTCTGACATAGCGGAATTGCCACATCATCGTTCCCAACGCTGCTCTTTTCATACATGTGGTATTTTGTCCTTTCTCCTTTTGACATACAAAAAGATAAGTGAATTTTCATGTTCTTACCCACATTTGAGAATGGTCACCGATGTGCATGCTTCAAATCTTAGAGCTGGAAATAAGGCAGCAAGAAAGTGTAAATGAGTGCAGCCGAAGTGAAACTAGGACTGGAGAGAACTGAAGGAAGAGTGAAGTCAAACAAGCAGCTGAAGGCATGACAGGGGCCTGTGGGCAGGTTGCTGTAGGTCCTGGCCAATGTGGGCCTCTCCATACTGCTCACCCTGCTTCAGGTCGGCCTCAATGCCCCCATCCTTACTGTGAGAGCAGGGGGGGGGGCACGCCAGCGGGCTGGTGTTAAGTAGAGCCTGACACACAATGGCACATCTGGCAGTGCTGTTCAGAAGCAAATCTTACAGCGCGGGGAAAACATCCTCTCACAATTATTAAAAAATCCATTCATCAGAACGGCAATCTTGAAAGAAACACAGGAACACAATATAGACTCCTTCACAGCTCCATGTTTTTGGAGACTTTCCGTTAACTGTTTTAAAGTAATTGACAAATTAAGTAACCATTAATTAGATGGACATCAAATTAATTTATTATTATTTCAAAATGAAAAATATGCACTAAAAATGAATAAATTCCTTTTTACTATATATATATTTAATAATTACAAATTTCTCAGAAAATCGCTCATAAAAAAGATTGTATGCCACCTTTTTACACAAAACACATCAAAAAGAATAGAATAGAATACAATGGAATAGAATAGAATACTGGTACTTTATTCATTGCCATGGGGAGACTGGTCATCAGGATATAATTTAATATGTTTCGTTAACTACGTAGGATTGCGTGGACATGTCTGTGCTTGGATAAATGCAGATACGCGTGAGCGTGTAGATCTGCAGTGCGAGGGTAAAGGGTGTTTCTGCTAGTTTGTATGTGTGATTTCCTACATCCAGCGGCTTACAGAAAAAACAAAACTGATGCATGGACAGAACATAACATACTCCAAAATGAAGGCTGACAGTGCAAATGGGTTCTAGAAACGTAGGAACAGGCAATGTTGGATGATGTGGCTTCACTTAATCCTAAACTCCAGTCTGGATAGACCACAGTTTCAAAAATAAGGGTCCCCAGTTTTGCGGCTGTCAAAAAAAGAGTGAAAAAACTCATAATCACTAACTCCAGGTTTGTGCTGGTATCTCCCTTATACAGCTATTTATATTTGCTATTTACATTAACATTATGACGTGATTTCTATTTATGGGGACAGTACAATCTATTTAAAATGTCATAATATCTGTGTCATCAAGGTTTAATAATAATCTTTTTATGGTTATTATGAACTCTCTATACACCTTACATAGTCTAGAGGTTCAATTGTTCCCAAGCATCAGATAAGTAATAATAAACTAAATTATTTAATAAACTAAAGAAGATAAAACAAATTAAAAATGTATCATTACTTGGTTGCACAGTTTAGCAATGGTTTATATGGCATCTCGGTACTTGTCTGGTACATTTCCTTATAAACAGTGACCAACGCAGGAAGCTTCATTATTTGACCACTATGTATAGAGATGTTTCATTGTATCTGCCAGGATCCCGAAGCATTGAACCCAACCAGGAGGAGTTCTTCTCAGGCTTGAGCTGCTGCTGTCTCCGCTGTATGACACGAAGCCAGTCATGTGTGCCATCATTTGGCACGCTGCCCCACACTGCGACGTGCCACAGAGCAATTAGACTGCAGCCTTCTCTGGAAGCTCAGTAGCTCCTCAGTGGTCAATGGCAGGAGGGGGGGGGGCATCACCTTCCACTCAATGGGGGCCTACGTCTAAGAAGACACTTTATTTTTCTACACTTGAGGTTTGTTGTCTTTTGTGCCTTTTGTGGCATTCAGGAGCCGTTTCACGCAGCTGTACCCCCAGTGAAAGGCTTTTATGTGGCCCCTGTGAATACCCTAAATGTGTCCATGGCAGGTAGCCCTCTGAGCAAGTTAATCTCCTGAAAGAGCCCCATAAAAGCACTTTAAAGATCTCCTTTGAACACTGAGGGCTTTCGTCAATCGGGTACTTCGCTCCTTTGTCGAGTGCGACCGTCTCTGGTGCACGCAATGCTTGGCCAGAGACAATGGCTGTTACTGACTGGAGCAGACACCTTCGGGGCCAAACATGGGTAATTGCTTACAAACTGTCTGGGGCCGGGACACTAAGAGTATTGTGTGGGGCTGCTGAAGTGACAGGGGAGGTTTGCAGACAAGACCCAGAACGGCCTTCACTCTGCTGGTGGGTCTCTGTTTATCTGTTTGTCTGTCCTTCTGTGAAAGGTCTGGGCACCTCTGCCCGCCTCCGGTTCCCACAAGAGGGCCATGTATGGTCTATTTGTTTATTGTGATGGTTTTTTTTCCCTCCCTAAAGCAAGATGAGAGGAGGCCAGAAACGACAACAGCATCACAGTGCTCTTAAAACCATGCTCTACAAAGATCAGTGGGTCAAAGGTCAAGGGCCACGGTGTCATGCAAGCGGCCAACATGCATCGCTTGGCTGACTCACAAAAGGACTCCGCTCCCCTTTCTCCAAACACCTGCTTTTCTAAGTGTTGCGCCCCGCCCTGGATGTGCTGACGCTCCTGCTTCCCAAATGGAGATGTGACATGCCCCATTAGGACAGGGACAGAAGCTCTCCATCCACCCTTCAGCAGCGTCCCCAAATCCGCCTGCATATTAACACATAACATCACAGCATTCACATGAATGGCACACATCATTATTTTAAGTCCACTTCACTTGTTTAAATGAGCAGACTTTTTTTCCACGCTTGCTTGAGGTTAAATACGACTTCTAAACATGGTGTGTGGTATAATATGTGTTGTGTAGGTCATGTAAGTTATCTAAGGCAGATTGTGGACTACCTTTTCTGCGACAATAGCTGCAGGACAAACAAAAGAAATATGAAAGCCTGACCCTTTTTCACATTTTCAAATTTCCATAGCCATAATAATAACGGCAAGCACTGGCGGGCCAAAATAAATGCTAATTAAAAAGGTTATTTCACAAATACACCAAAGTGTGTCTAATTATGTGTAATTATAATCACAATACAATTGCTTTTAAAAATTATGCTTTCATATGTTATATGTCCATCCACCCTTGTTCCAATCTCTAATGGTGAGGACTGGGCTGCTGGAGATGAAAGGGTAGGGAGAGAGAGAGAGAGAGGGGGGGGGGGACGGAGTGTACAGCATTTTACCATTAGGGGACACTGGAGAATTACCAGCGAATTATTGCCCACCAGCGAAATATTGTGCGTTATAGCTAAGAGCAATATATATATAGTAGCTGATGACAAAGCCTAAAACGAAAAAAATGTATGTATTACTTTACACCACAGTAAACCTTTTATAAACTCACTTAAGATGACTGCTAGCTGGTTTTTTTCTATAACCGATACGAACGAAGTACCTAGTTCCGGGAACAGTGATGTCTCCTCGCCTATATCTAAAGTACGGAAACCCTTTTATTCCTGGTATTTAACCGCTGCGCCAATAAAAGGTCACCGCAACTCCCTTTATCTCGACACTCTATTAAGGCTGTTGAAAAGAGCTTAAAACATCATATGTGTTGACTAGCTGGATAGGTATGGATAACACAATGCGTAGTATCGACTGCTTTTATGCACATAAGTACCAGTAAGTCATATTTGCGTTAATTTAAAAAAAGTCCACAAAAAAGGTAGGTAGCCTATATTTATTTTATTTTATCATTTCGGCTTGAAAAATCGAATACAACTGCTTTTCAGTCGCTGCCACCACCTGGGTAGCGGTAATTAATAGTTAACGCGGTATTATTTAGGTTCATTGCAATTATTCTCTGTTCATTCGGTTCTGATTGCAGAGCACATAGCAAAGCCCAAGTCAGATATCAGCGGGGGGCGGGGGGGGGGGAACCACAGGTTGGTGTTCAGGTTGGTAAGATGCCTGCGGGAGGCGACACAGCACCACTTTAACCTCGGCTGGGGAGCTCACGGATTGCCTTTCCACAAGCCTTTTGTAATTATAAATATCACGTCGTATACACAATATCTTTGAATGTTAGGAGACGGCTTTATGTCTCTACTATGGTAAGTTAAATATTCCATATAAGACAATACGTTTATAAAACAAAGTCAATTTAAAAGATGTGATTCTACATGTTTATACCGACGACGTATGTTTATGTTCGCTGAATGAATGAATGACAGCACTGTGTGCTGCTCGGGACGGCGGAGAGACGGAGCGGCTGTAGGCTGATCCTGCCGCACAGCACAGTCGAACACACGGTGCTCCTCCCAGCATCGCAACATCTGCTCTGCGTGGAAAAAACAGCCGTTTGTGCTATTTTGAAGGAGACCCGCGCATAAACACGTCTAAAAAGGGAGATGCAGTGAGTGACGCCAGCCTGGCGATGAAGGGCGGCCGTGCAGCGCGCGGCGGTGGCGGGGGGACAGGGGACGACAGGGACCAGCAGCGCTACGCACGCAAGATGCAGCCTCAAGGTAAAACCTTCATCAGCCACCGGTTTGTTAATTTCCATCTGTGGTGGATATGTTTTTAGGCGTGGTAGCTATATATATCAGCTGGAAATTTCTTTTGTCATTTATCGTGACGTATCACGTCGTTCATGGCGGTGAAACTGAGCAAATTAAGCTGTGTTTCAGCAATATGTTTATGTTTTTCAAGCACAGATTATGGATCCGAGACGTTTGAACGGGCCGAAACACCGGAGGGGCTATAATTAATGCAGCCGTGTGCGTCATTAAACGGGATCTAACCGCATAACCGCTTTGCGGTTCCAGTTCATGGAGGTACGTGGAAGAGAGAGATGTTGACAGATGTGTTATTATTCTGAAAGCACGTTTACACTTTGTCTCCTTCCATTGGAAATTATGTGCAAAGACAGAGGGAGATGAGTCTAGTATCTTGGGGTGTGTGTGGGGTCTTGTCCTGTTTTGGTCAGTTTCTTCCAGGTTAGGGTTAGGCAGTTTGACACTCCTGAGATCCCTTCATAGGCACTCTGCATCACCAGGGCCTGATGCACTTGCTGTTATCCATGTACTTCCAGGCTTGCTACTGCCCGTGGCTCCAGCATGTCACACTCCTCTCCCGCCGGTGGCGGCCATAACTCCAGCATCGGAACCTGGGACCCAGGAACCCTGAGCCCATCTTCCACAGCCACCAGTGTGGTGAAGATGACGCTGATTTCGGCCATCATGTGCACCTCGCTGTTCGGCAACGTGCTGGTGCTGCTGGTGTTTCAGCGCAAGCCGCAGTTGCTGCACGTGGCTAATCGCTTCGTGCTGAACCTGCTGCTGGCCGACCTGCTGCAGACCGTCCTGGTGATGCCCTTCGCCATCGCGGCAGCCCTGCCTGGCGTCTGGCCGCTGGATAGGCGTCTATGTCAGGCCCTGGTGGTGCTCATGCACCTCTTCGCCTTCACCGGCGTCAACACCATAATCGTGGTGTCGGTGGACCGCTACCTGGCCATCATCCACCCGCTCTCCTACCCCACCCGCATGACGCCGCACCTCGGCACCAACCTGATTGCTGCCACATGGCTGGTCAGCGCACTGCAGAGCACGCCGCCGCTCTATGGCTGGGGCGCCATTGGCTTCGACCGGCGGCACGGAACCTGCACCGTTTTCTGGGCCTCCAGCCAGTCCTACGCCGCTCTGCTCTCCACGCTGTCATTTTGGCTCCCGGCGACCATCATGCTAGCCTGCTATTGGATGGTGTTCCGGGCAGCTAGGAGGCAGAACGCCCTGGTGCACCCCATCCATTCGGCCCCCCCCCAGGACCGCCACATAGCTGCAGCCACCCCACAGGGCCCCGACACTCAGCAGCTGACTGCCTCACCCTCCCTGGAAGGGAACCCCAGCCGGAGCCGGAACAGACGCTTCCAGTACCATTGCAAAGCAGCACGGGTGGTGTTCATCATCACAGGCTCTTACGTGATGAGCATGGGTCCCTACAGCATCCTGGGATCAGTACTGGCACACTCGCATGCTTCGGTGCCGTCGTGGCTGGCCGCGCTGGTGCTTGTCCTCTTCTTCCTGCAGTGCTGCGTGCACCCCTACACCTACGGCTACATGCACCGCAGCGTCCGCAAGGAGTTCACCAGCCTGCTCTGCGGCCCCCTCATTTGCATCCGGGATGGCCAGCGCTCCCATCGGGGATCTGGGCCGACAGACATTCGCTCTGGCCACCTGCACCTACCGGGGGTGGCCGCACGAGTCTGTCCCCAGCACATCTGGGAAGAGGGAACCGTTTCATCCTCCCCGACAGAGAGAAGGTCCAAGGACAGCAGGAAGGAGACCACCTCAATCAGCCTCATATCAGAGAAGTGACAGGACAGTCGGTCATAGTGTTTGGGTCTGCCCCTAACCCCTACATCTACTAGCAATTTTCTGTTAGTAAAAAGCAAATTGTAGATGATTTAGTAGTTTAGGAAAAAATATTGTTAAACTCAATTATTTCCGAAATAGCAGTTGCTCCTGTGATTTGGTGGTGTCCCAAACAGTGGTAAACTGTTTCAGCTTCCTAGTGACTCATTTCCGGCATAGACTCTACTGCTGGGTGAAAATACGCCACGTACAGAGAGAACGACTGTTCCCAGTGACTCTTAGATCCTAAGGTCAAACAGAGCTAATATGCTCCACCCACAGACTTGAAAAGAACAGCTCCCTACCTCCCTTTGTCAGGTGCCCCTTCACTAAAGTCCTTTGTACATTACCTACAGAACCCGGATTTGCGGTATGTACAGAGCCTCAACGTTTTAAAACGTTTAAGTCAGTATTTGGAATGCACCCTTTGATCAGTGGTGCTGTGCCAAGGGACGTCCCTGGTAAAATGAAACGGATGTTGACTTCATAGGTTGTGAAAAACATTACCTCAAAATACTGTGTGATTCAGTGTATTCAGCAAAGTAATTATTTTGTGTTACAACGTAGACAAAGTGAAAATAGAATTTGTACTGTTAATGCTTAAGTTGATGTTTCCTATGTAATTTGTGATATTTTAACAAAAGTGGAGTTACCAAGAGATTTTATATACTGTCAGTACAGATTATATAATGACATTTATACTACAGAAGTCATTTTATAACAATTTAATATGGTCTTGACATGTTTAAGTATGTTTTATACAGTTGAATAAACTATATGTCCAATGTTAAAATGTTGGACAGAAGTACTTACTACAACCCAACTATAGGGGCAAAACAGCTACCGTTGCTACCAGAGATATAAAGGTTCTGGAAAGCACCGGTTAAGAGGATGATGTCCCAATACTTGTTACCTGCATGTTCTGAAGGGTACCGGGTTAGATACGGCTCCCACACCAACATCAAAATGAAACTTGACTGTCGAAAAGGTGTAATACAGTAAAATGTAAATGGGGGGGGGATGCATGTACCTCTGACCCAAGTATGTTTATTACTCTTCATTTTGACCGATATTACAACAAAGTTAAGGATAAATGAGAAGAAAACAAGCAGCGTGGCTTGTAAAGGATAAAGGAGACGCAGTGATCTAAAAACAATAATAAAAATCATACAGACAAGAGGGAGAGACAAGACGGCCTGGAGATACAGGCGCGGTGAGACGTGTTGGGAGACGAGTAGAAGCAGGCGACGTCTCACAGGCTCCAGTCTGCAGAGCTAATCCTACAAAGTGGCGCTCGGGCAGCAGAAGCTGCACTGCTCTACATGCATTCCCTCAATCCTTCAAGGGACAAACACTGAAGTCCTTCCACTCGAGGTACTAAGGGGTTAAAGCTACCTGTACCCCACCCAGCTCCCAATGAAGCAGAAAAGTTCTTTGGAGATGACACATAACAAAATCAAATCACCGATAAAGACAACATTAGCGTCAATTATATAAACAGAAACCTAGTTATGAGGGAACAAAATAATCCAATATCGTTTCTCCACAGAGAGAAGCAGAGGGGTCAGTCCTTGCGTTTGCCCACATCTTCCATGCAGCTCAGCCACACGCCGACAGTCTGACCCATCTAGCCCTTTGCTTCTCAAACCTGCAGTTCATACATGTGCTTTTGCTCAGCCCTGCCCACCCTGTCCAGCAAGCCGACCCCAGACATGGCTGCTGAAAGGAGACAGCTGAGCAGAAACGGACTAGTCCACCTTGACCACACTGTAGATCTTGCTGACGAACCAGAAACAGGCGAAGAACCCAATGGTTCCTGGAAGCAGAGAGAATCAGCATAGTGAGAGGAGTACCTTAACACACACACACACACACACACACACACAGAGTCAGGTCTATGAGCAGAGACCTTGCTAAACATAAACACTGTAAAGCTTAACAGTGATAAAACTGACAAGCACAGAAAGGTGAGGCCAGGAAGCCACAACTAATGCAACTCCAATGTCTGTGACTAGGGCTGCACAATATCACATCATGGCATATGCACAATAATCACTGGGGCTTCACATGACAGGTGAAACATTTGTTCAGATGCCGGCATTGTGGTATTATATGGATGTTTAATTACACCCACAATTTTGTAAACAGATTAGTAATGCACCTAAAATATTAAGGAGTTGTATCGTGACACCCAAAAGTTAGTAATCTGTATAAATTTGCCGTATCCTCGTTTATTAAATGTTGTCGGATTTTAAGCTGCAAAAAGTACCATCACACCTCAAATGTCTTTACCTTGTTTATAGACAATATCTCCTCTTTTAAAAGATGGCTGCTGATCTGTCCCTTTCTTCACCACCACTTCAGTGCTTAGCGCTTCCATGATTTACGAAAACAGTAGCATGTGCCGTGCTCCGCTAACCGAATTTAATAAACATAAGGGTTCAAAGAATTTACACAGATTGCTAACTTTTAGGTGTCACAATACGCCTCTCACCGCTTAGCAGGATCTCTACGCCTCCAGACATACTATGATCTGCTTACCAAATTGTGGCAATAAGTAAACATCCGTATAGTATAAAAAAAAGCTGCCGTCCGGACAAATGTTTACACCCATCATTTAAAGCCCTGGTGATTTTTGTCTATGCACCACATAATTGTGATGTGATATCGTGCAGTCCTATCTGTGACATGGGTTTCAAAAAGATTCAGGGTTGACATGCAAACAGCAGGAACACGTCAAGGGAGACGACAGCACCACATGCTGAATATTTGATGTGCCGCATTTTATGGCACAGGCTTTGGACTGGCTATGATGCCAAGGCGGCCATTTAACACACACACACACACACTTCAGCTGTCTAAAGCTACACTCAAGCTACCCAAGAATGGGAAACAACCTATTTAAGTGCCAGGAGGGACAATGTTGCCATAACGATGTAATCATGGATTTCAAGACTTGCATGTAACCCATGGCAACAAATATATTCATCAAAGCACTGTTATATTAATAAAGCAGATTCGCAGAGTCTTTAAATATGCCCAACTTACAGCTAATGGTCTAAATTTAGACCATCACCAGCTTAGCTACCAGCTCGTGCACCATGCACATACCTCAGCCACCAGCCGAGAAACAGGCTTTAAAAAGTGGCAGTGCGGCAGATAAAGGGCCGCAAATGTAAACACAGATTAGGTGGACAACGGCTGAATGGTGATGCCGTTAATGATACAACTGCAGCTTCTGAATTCCATTTCCTTAAACTTTGGATTGAATAAAACATGGGCTGCTGGGGGCAGAAGGCAAAAAAAACACTTGGTACTAATGCTGAAGTCAGAAATTTCAACTGGAACACCCCCTGAAGTCAGAATTCCTACCTGAAAAGTCAGAAGAATCTAGACAACCACGAGCTCAGAATTCAAGATGGCTGCACCCTTTATCAACAGAAGTTAAAGCTGTAGCTTTATACTGTTTATTAGCACTTATGTCTTTATTTGTGGCTCATTAAATCAGTAGTACACACAGTACTGTCCAACTGCTGTCTGTGGATGTCTTGTTACGGTGTTTTTATGTGCAAAATACCATGTAATTAGTTGATATCCACTGATATTGCTAACAATGAACCTAGCTAGACCTGTTTCAGAAAGCAGGATTTCTTGCTTAGTTGGATAACTTGTCAGATTTAAGGTAGTCTGTGCTAAATGTAAGTGAACAACGATAAAGGCCATTTAAACTGGGGTAAATTAAATATGACATTATCCAGCTAAGCAAGAAATCCTGGATTTGGAAACAGGTCCCGGGTATTTGTGAATGGCTTTCTGACTTGCTGTACTAGAATGTGGTTAACTCAGGTGTGATGTCATTCCCAGCTCCAACTTCCAGCCTCCAAGGAAAATGGAATGCAGCATGACTGTGCGTTAGGTGACACTTCCAGGAAATGAACCATCTTGTCCTTACACTGTCAAAGCAGACCCATGAACTATTCCAAGCCAACTACATAAAGGCTACAGGGTTAAGACGGGTCAAAATATAGTAAAATACACACAAAACAAACAGGAGGCCAGGGGATCTATCAGTATATTACTTCAGTAACCCTGTTTTTCCAATAAGGAACATGTGGCAATTTTATCACCAGTCTTCCCCAATCAAGCAGACTAGAGGAATCCCATGGGAATCCCATGGGAATCCCATGGGAATCCCATGGGAATCCCATGGGAATCCCATGGGAAGCCCCCCCCCCCCACTAAACCATCCAGACACACTTAAGGCAGGCCTGGGATCAAAGAATTCTGCTCTTTGGGGTCAAAGGAGAACAGACTTACCTGTGAAGAGGAAGAAAATTAGCACCATAATCATGGTGTACCCAAAGTAAAGTATGGTGCTGGCCATGCCTATGATCTGCAGCTTGGAGAAAAAGTAGTGCACAGCATACACCAGCAGGTAGAAGGCCGTGAAGCTGCTGGTCAGGAAGGAACGCCACCACCAGTGGTAATCCTGGAGGTAGCGAAGGGGGCAGGGTCAGACGCAGAGTGACAGATATACCTTCACGTACAGCCAACCAGGGTACAGGGATATTTTCTACATACAGCCAATCAGGGTACAGGTATTCTTTCTACATACAGCCAATCAGGGTACAGGGATACTTTCTATGTACAGCCACCCAGTGTGTGAAAATGCTTTCATGCCAGTGACCATAAAATTAGTCATCACTTTAAATGCTGGCAGGATTTTAACAGGTTTTTCCTGCAAGACTTACACTTCCAGGGTTGGGTGTTGTGGTTTTTCTGGTGAGACATTGCTACAGAACAGTACACTCTCAGATATTTCACTGGCATAAGCTCTTGGTACCCCCAGTGATGTTCGCTTCTAAGCTGTCTATGGGTCGGTTTTTGCTACTGTTAATTCATTTGTGCAAATAACATTTATTTGAACTTGCAGTGATTCAAGAAGCATGGCGAATCGCCAAAGTCAGTCAATATCACCTTGGAAGGGTGCCTACCTAAATCCATGTCAGGGGGACATTATGAACTACTTCTGGTTTTACAAACTACTTTAAAACCGTAAGGCTCCTGTGTTAGGCTAAATTCTTTGGTTCGTCTTGTGCTTTTACTAGTTCGTTTCCTTGATTGAAAGACTAATCTAGCCATTTCACATTAACATTAGTGACACATGCATGACTGTAGGACACTGACCAATCAGCACACAGCAAAACCTCAGTGCTGAAGTGAAATCTGGGTCCTGCCCTGGCTCATAGTGCCCCCCCCTGACACGGATGAGGTGGTCACCCTATTCTAGGTAGGTCGTGGTCTATTCTGATGAAAGGATGACCTGCCTGTGTGCAGACTACCTCAATGCCAGGATAAAACCACCAGTCAGACTTTGGGGATCCTCCCCCAAGCATTTCAATAAATTAGACCAAAGCTACCCCCCGATTTAAAAATGTTAGCTGTACTGAATTCAAAATGACATGTCTGACAGCCGGTTTCCATTCAGCGGCCATCTCACCTCTGCACATAGGTGGAAATAACATAGAAGCATGGTGGCCTCTGAGCAGGTAATGAGCAAGATGATGAAGACCAGGAAGAGGAAGCCAA